CATCGTTTCAATCGCATGACGCACTTCTGATGACAGGAAAGGCAGCGTTTCTTCCAGAACTGTTCCTTCTTTACTCGCATCTGGAAGGTCCGATCTGAACAGAGCGGAGTAGAATGTTGTCGAGATTTCTTCCATTCCAGGTGTGGAGCAGCATCGAGTTCCATTCGCAGTTTTTAAGCATGGAATCCTGAGACGGTGCTCGGCTATCTTTCTTCTCGCCTTCCTCAAAATCCGCCTGTTCTCTGCCTCATCTAGGAACTTCGCTCTTGCAAAATTGGCGTGATCTTCAGCAATTCGTTGCCTACACAACCTATGTACTTAGCAAAGTGTACTCCACGTGGTTTTCCTGTCGATCCATATTTCTTCGCTTTTCGAGTAGTGCACGAGTAGAAGCAGAAATGCGACGAGAACTGTGAGAGGGAGCAACACTGCGACAGCTGCTTGCGATTGCGGTTACGGTTTGCACGAGGTTCTCGTAGTCAGAGTCGATGTCATCCATCACTTCAAACAACTTTTCTTTTGCAAGCCTCGTGACCGCATGTTCGTCCAGCATGTGGGGCACGGCTGCCTTGAGCGTATGCGCGTCAGACGCATCAAGCCGCAGTCAAGGTGAAAACGCCCTCGCAGTAAACGATGATCGCTCCTCATGTTGAAAGAAGGGACAACCGCAACATCCGTCATGATTTTCCGATTGCACAAGACATGGTCGATTTCGTGACAGTGTTGTCCATTCGGCGGGATATGAGTCCATCTTTTCTGTGGTGCCTTGAGGAACTGACTATTGCCATGGTAGAGATTATGCAGTTCACAAAAACTCGCTAATCTCTCCCCAAGCCCGTTGCCCTCTTTTGCCGAATGGGGCCCGACGAAAACCTCGCCATGCTTTCGTGATCCAACCCGGGCGTTGAAGTCTCCCATCACAACGACGTAACCACGTTGCCTACGCACGAGCTCCTCGAGTCGTTCGTAGAAGTTGTCATGCTGCTCTTCATCGGTGTCAGCTGTAGGCGCGTAAGCCTGTATGAGGTGCATACACTCCTAATGAAAACAGGCTATCGCGCCGGGCATTTGCCCTGTCGTTTTTGATGGGGGTGCGTGTGCGGTGCGCGATCGCTTTCTTCATCTTCATCGCTTTCTTTAGACAAAAAATTTTTCAAGGAAGAACCAATACTCAACAAGTGAAACGATCGCGTATTGGCTATAAACATCGGGCGCGTAATCTTTCATAAAGAGTTACTATAAAAACAGCAGAATGGTGTTTTCTTGCGGGAGTTTTTGGCAGAGGTAAGACTCCCGTGGTTTCGTCAGTGCCGGCATGAAAAATGACAAAGATTGGTACTCAAAGAGCATACTGATGGACTTAATGAAGCACTGGTCCGATTCCAGTTCTCGAAATAGTCCCTTTCGGTTCTTCCAGCAGGACGGTACTCTGGCCCACAGAGCCAAGCTCGCCTAGGTGTGGTGCCGGCACTAGGTGACCGACTTCATTAGCAAAGAGGACTGGCCATACTACTTTCCAGATATCAACTCACATGGCTCCTTCGCATGATCTCTGATTAGAAGAGGACCAGACGGATTTGCANAAAGAGGACTGGCCATACTACTTTCCAGATATCAACTCACATGGCTCCTTCGCATGATCTCTGATTAGAAGAGGACCAGACGGATTTGCAATTCCACTTCCGAGTTCTAGAAAGCAGGACTTAAGAACGACTGGAAAGAAATGGAGGAGGATACCTGCGTGCAATGTTCGAGGAGCTCGAGATTGAACTTTGGGCCTCTATTCACGCTCATGGGGGGGTATTTTGGAAGTTCATTGTAGCATGTTGTAGCGCATAATCACATGTCACACATCATCGACAATATTATCTAAAATATAGATTCCAGTGTCATTCTCAGCTAGAAAGCTTTAAATACATTGCCATAATTGGCGCCCATAATTTGGGGACATCCCGTACAGTGGTAGTAGCTCAACTGTGATTTTTTATTCTTTTGTAATTAGCCATTTATGCAGCAGCTTGCTCTGATAGCTGTCATTTCAGTCCTTTGCTGCTTTGATGATTATGCATACTGCGGTATTACCTTGTGTCTTAAGTGCTGTGATCATCTGTTTCTTTGTATTACGACGTTATTTTTCCAAACACTCCTCCAGTGAGTCAACAAGACGCCTTCAAGAGCGTTTTTCTAAGAGTGTTCTGTTCCAGGTCAGAGTGTCTACGTTTCTCTATCGAATTCACACCGGTTGTTACGAAGTTAATCTTTTTCAGATTGTTTATTTGACACTTTCTACAACCCTCAAAGTTGTGCCATTAATACTCATTGCAGCACTGGGTTCTAGGAGATTTTCTAACGAACTACGAAATGTTCTCGTTTGGTACGACCTTGTGAGTCTTTTCCCTCGTAAAGATAGTCAGTTTGTTCCGAAGCTATACCCCACACGATAGTTCCTTGCTATAAACTGATCGTATACTTCGAGGTCCTAGATATCGTACCCTCCCTCGTAGGGTAATACTGATGAGCGCCTTTGCGACCCTCTACAAGTGGTACTTTCCCGAAAGTGTCGGCTACCAACTTACCCACCCAAGCGGAATGCAAGTCCGGTTGGCCTGGGCAGATACCCAACTCGGACTGGAGTGCGTGGGCGATAGTGCGGCGCAAAACATTACACCACCTCCTCTGAACTGATTGAGGTCTAAAGTTCTCTTCTGAACTGTTTGAGTCATTGGCGTTAATCAATCCGTCTGAGGAAGGACCCCACCCCCCTTAACAGCGCATTGAGTCCGCATGTGGCCTATACAATGACAAGTTAGTGCTTTTACCGGAGACTTGGTTTACCTAGGCGGCTAGGCAGATATCGTTTCGGAGTTCCTTCGACCATACCGTACGATTCCATTACACCACCTCCGCCCTCTTGTAAACTACTTTTTATAATTGCAACGAACAATTTGAAGAAGAAAGCTAAATATTAATCATATATCTGGTTTAGGTAACGAATTTTGTACTAACATGGCATGAACTTGTTCTTGGTATGTTGATCAAGTGGTCCGTAGCTGGATTTTTGACCGGAAATAAGGTGGCTATTGGAAGCGTGTCTTTCACTGTCACTACCGTTTGAAGGTAGGCTGATGCTCGCCTGTGAGCAACGTTACTGTGCCTGCGTTTCTCTATTTAAGTGATCATTTCAACTACATGAAATAAATGTGTCATATATTGCTTCGAATATCCTTGTGAAACCTCCAATTTATGGTGACTTTCCTCCTTTCAAAGGAGCGTTGGGATAGGACGGGCAGATTACGGTACACATGTATAACGGTATCGATTAATCAATACCAATCGTGACTATTTCAACGGATTCCGTTGTCTTTCATATGCTTTTGACAGTTTACAATGACTTTTTCGACCAAGAGTTAAAACATGAAAATTTGGTCTCCGTACAGTCTTGCGAGGCTTCCGTGAATTGGTATCGATAGGTATCGACTGACCAATATGGCGTGGGCTTGAAAAATGATAGCAAACTTTCTTGCGTAGTTGTACTCCTCCCTGTAGCACGTTCGTTACGTCTCCGCCGAAATTCGTTTTTTTTTTCGAGAAGAAATCTTCTCATTCTGCCCTAAATCAAGGTACATATATGCAGTGCAATATCTTGTCCAAAACTTTTGAGCTAATACTTCAGTCGATGTTCCATGTTCACAGGCTCCGAAGCTAAAGGGTAACGGAACTTCTCCCCGATTACGGCATTCTCCCTAGCGGCATGCGGCAAATGTCACTGCAACTACCGTACTCCCCCCGCCTCCCCGCCAATCGATAAGACGCGGAACTTTTCGTTAATTGCCCTTCTTTTTTATTAGATTTGATCGTTTTTTTTCTATTTCTTTTTCATTTTTATGTTTATTAGTCTTGATTAATTAGAATGACTCGTCCTATGTAAGCGACGATCGAGACTGCATTGAAATTGAAGGGAGCGGTCAACCAATTCAAATAATTAAAGGACTCCCTACCTCACAAAATGCGCGCTCCAATCTGCCATCGCAATCCTGCGATACGCTGCGGCTGCGGCGTGCGCGACGCCGTCTTCAGGGAGAGGTTCCCGGACCCAAACCTAAAGCATGTGAAAGTATAAGTAAAATTTAAGGAGTTTTCAGTGTAAGTAGACACAGCCGCTTCGAGAACCCATGAACAAATCCAGGTGCGGGGCAAAATGAACACCTTTGTTTCACTTACCAAACAAAGCTGACTGAGGTCAAAAAACTACCTGCATTGAAGTAGAGTAACTAGGGAGAAAAAATTAATTTTTCCATTCTTTCTTATGAATTTCAAATTTTTTTTGACTTGATGTTTTGTTAGCTGCTGAGAAGGCGATGTCTCACAAGCGAATTGTGGACAAGACTTCGGCCTCGGATGAGACTCGAACCGGTATATGTGTTCTTGGGCATGTGCTCTTATCCCTTACACTACTGACATTCCGATTGCCCTCTGCTTCTTAATGGCTTATACGCCATAGCCATGCCAATTTCTTGCAAATCTAATTGCTTTCGAATTCTGTATCTTGTTTACTATTGATATTAAATAGATTTCAGATTCGAATGAAACATCGGTTTTCGACGGCTTTCGTAGTATATTGGTGTACAGTGCTTTCATCTACGTTTGTATAGAGTTATGAAAAGCGCTGAGTGGATTCCTTGCCAACGGCCTCAGCTTGAACGTAAGTGTTGTACCTGCTATATTTTCTTCTTGGTTCATGGCCAAATCGCGTTGCTAGGTGAGGGCACGGATCCTTCACGCGAATTCAACTCCGCTTCTATGCAATTGACGCATATTTATTTTGAAAAATCTGTAAAAATTTGAATCAAAAACTCGGTGAAAAAAAATGAATAGCGCCAATGGTTGAATCATGAAGCCGACAAATGTCAAAGCGAGTGTGATTTACCTGATTACAGAGCTAGTCGTCGATGCGGCGCAACCGTAGCGTAGCGATGAACGGTCTAAAGGAACCCTGACCGAGAAGGTTGACTTTAGAAAGGACGAGGACCACAGGAACTGTGGCTCGTATGTTCTCGGACACATCACGTTTTCAACTACAGTACCGCATCTATTGTTACCGTATCCGGCACGCCATTCCTTTCACGAGACTTTGCCTTGGGGGACGGTCAAGTCGCGCGTCCGAGGGCGCGCGCGGCAAACTGCGCGGCGAAGTTCGTGACGATTTGAACGACTCTGACGCCAGTTTTCGGGGCCCAAACTCGAAGTAGAGTAGTTTGGAAGGGTCAGATTATCCTTCTAATCTACTCTACTTCAAATTTGGGCCCCAATGATAGGCGCTGAAGTCGTTCAAACCGTTACGAACTTCGCCGCGCAATTTGCCGCGCGCACCCTCGGACGCACGACTTGACACATACCCCTTCGTCCCAATAGCGTCAATTGTATCAATAAACAATTATCTGTACACTGCTTTTCGCAGAAGCAAGGCTTGAGGATTAGTCATAGTCGGGAGTGTTCCTAAACAGTCACTCTTACCAAAATGAGTCAGTACATTTAACTCATGCTTGATCCCATGAAAACTATTTCGTCTTCAGCAATCTGCCCCTATCTACCTTCAGATCACCCCTCTAGGGTTCTTCTTCATTACCGAAAAAAAGCTCACTCCTCAGTCCGTCAACAGTTTCATTCTATGATGGGCGACATTCCAGCTTCTTCTCTGTCCATCCTATAATATTACAGGGGTTCTTCCTCGTCTCTATCAAGTTGGTTTACTAGAGACATGATCAAGGGATTTCGGTTCCTGAAGCAAAGGATTTCCCTTTAGAGCTACATTCTATCAATTCTTCACCGTTTCAAGTGTGACCGGATATTCTGTACATCAGAATGTCCGGTGGGATGTGATGCAGTAGGATCGAAATTGCCGCGTCGCGCCGAGAGGGACACCGCGCATGCGAAAAAATGGAACAGAACGCAGCAGCAGGTAAGAAATACAGGAACAAAAGAACTAACAGTAGAATCATGCCTGAAATAATGATCACATATCGATTGAGCTGTATAAAGAGTGTTAGAGCTGTGATAACGGCGAAGCAAATGGCCCTCGACAGCCGCGTGCGGCGAATCGATTACACAAAACCGATCCTACAGCCCGTCTCCCGGTTAGGTGTGGTTTAGTGGCCAGTCGTGCCATAAGAAATTCGATGATATGATGATGATGAATCCAAACCGTAGAACCTCAATGAACCCAAACACTTAGAAAACCAATACTCCCAGGGATAGCTCCTAATCATGTACTGATTTGCGGGCTATCGTGATCACTAACGACTGAGACAAAATTTTTAGCGAACGATACCACAAATGGTAAACAAATGTTATATTCATTTTGGACTTCAGTAACACTGATAACAATAACAATCAGCTTAACAACATCACAATGAAAATGAAAACACTAACAGTAACTATAACGATGCCGAGTTATGAATGTAAGGAAAATTTGGGACAAAACTGATGCAGGTGGGGTCAAGGCAGGGTAGAAGATAAGAGCACTGTGTCCGCAAACCACAACAACTAGCTTGTATCTCGTCTGAGATAGAAATTTCGGCCATAACTCAGCACCCTTGTGATTGGAGATTCGCATCACAAACTGCGGCGAAAAACAGCAGCAGAACAAAAATATCAAATAACAGTAACTACAAAATCAACAATAATCAACAATGGCCTTATGCCATGGCCTTCTGAATAGCGTCCAGCACACGGGTCGCAGACTTGCCGCACACCTGAAATAACTGGCGGACTCCTCGATGAAGGAAAATATGGAGCCATTTTGATTGTTGTTATTTACTCTCTAGGGGTTGCGTCGCTCATCTGGGGTCTGACCAGAACAGCAGGGATCATAAAATGCGCCCTGCCTCGTACAGAATCGTCTAGAATGTTGAATGTCCTTCTGAACCAATCTAGTATTGACAAAGGGATACCAAGAGAATTCGGATAGATCAGTTCGCCGAAGCGATCTTGAGAGGTCTAGGATCAGGACGGCCATATCACCTTTCTACCTCAAATGTAATACTATCAAATTATCCCAGATATCACCAAAAGTAAGCAATGCATTTCCAACTAATCAACCAAGGGCCAAGCTGACCTTTCATTCACCTGCTTCGCTAAGTAGAACACAAACTACAACCAGTGACTATCCCTCCGTACTTTCCCGACTCGAGGTCTCTCATTCTCACTACATCATAAATCCAGGCGACTACACAGATTTGTTGGCAATTCAAACCTTCCCACCANNCGTTTGTGCATTGCATTGTGCAGGTGAGGTGCATTAGGTGACCGGACCCGTTTTTTACTGACTAATATGAAAGAGTCGATTCTTTTATTTTCGCGCTCCACCATCCAAACTCACCTGTTGACAAGCCGAATTGACTTTCTTGCTCACTTCATTCCAAATCTGCTCATTTTCCAACGCCACATCTAGTTTCAGATATTTTTGCAATGTAGGCTGAAAATAATCGAACTCTACAGCTACAGCTAGAGTAACAATAAGAAACAGGATTACCTTCAGTTCGTCTCCAACACTAGAAGCAGCAGATAACAGGAGCTTCAAAACGCTGGCAAAATAACGGGGTTTGATCTGAAGTTCAATCGACAACCGTTTGATGGCGCTTGAGCTATTCTAGTTACTGTGAGATGGCCGATCCATGAACAAATTAAGAAAAGAAAAGGGAGCAAACCGTCTGTGGTTCAGTCATTGAGGTCTGAAGATACTCAGAAGATGCCTTCGCAAGTCCTTTAACAACGGATTTCTCCACTGGGGCTTTGAGAACTACTGCTTTGTTCATCATTCCAGCAAGACAAAGTACAGCTTCCGTCTGAATAGGAACAAGGAAATGAACAGAAGTATCCCTTTAAGAGAGTTTGAACGACAGGTAACGAACCCTTCGAAAAACTCGGTACTCCTCATTGAATCCTGCTTTCAGAAACACTGAAGCCCTCGGAACAAATGGCTCCTTAACTAGTACGATGTAAAAACTGAAGGAGAGCAAGGAAGTTTCATCAATAGAAGATACCGGATGTTTTATGACGGCAGCGATGGCCAATTCACACCCGATCATTCCATCTTCTTGGGCCATGAATCGCTCAAATAGACCAACGAATGCTGAGAGCACCGTTTCCGAACATGTACCATCCGATGAGATGCCAAGTGAGAACTGTAACAAGACTACGCTTTTTGTTTTAAAGAGGTCGAAATTTCATTTGCTAAAACTGCTATGACTAATTGGTCACTTCCAGCCGCCATTGGAGCCTACTTGAGCGTCGCCTCACTGATTGCCAAATTACCAGTTAAAAAATGAATTTAAAAAAATTCTCGCTACGACATTTTTGAAGTTATGGACCCATATTCCAGAAACTCCAACGGTCAAGTGGGCGGAAAAGGGTACAGCCAAATGGTGAGCAATCCACTTTTCAGAAACGTCGTCAAGTTTTATAGTCGAACTTCAAGTCAGTAAGGTGCAAATGGAAATCAGCTGTTCTAGTCAATGACAAATCCTACTCTTACCGGATAAATTTTGCGATCGTCATTTGTGCCACATCCTGCCAAACATGATATTTGAGAATAACGAAAGATTTCTATCACACTTACAATAAAGGAGCACAGGGCGGCAACGGTGGATATGAGAGTCGGATTGGAGATGCCAGACCCTTCGACAATCAGTTTATCCAATAAACTAATCACTTGCTTATCGGCGACCTCGATCTGAACAGAATTGATTGGATTACTAAGTATCATTCAACGTAACAGGACATATGAATTGTTATGAGGCCTCATTTCCTACTCGACGAAAGCTTAAATGCGGGAGAGCCAAATCCTACACTGCTAGGACCACTTACTACTCGACGTAGCCTTCGGTTTACCGAAGCAGAAGTGGCGCTGGATTCTCCCCCTGCTTCCCTTTGCTATCCCGAACAACCAGCCGGGATTCAGAATTCCGATTTGGCACCCCTATCTTAACTACAAGGAGGCGGCGTAGGCTAGTTTACACTATCGAAAGGTATGAGTCTGGGACCGAATTCCGTATCGGTCTTGCCCTGGCCAACCAAGCATTCCAGCCGGGATTGTTCAAATCCTACCAGGCTACCGCAAACCATTGTAGGGGCCACATACGCATTCAAAAAAGTCACAGATTTTGAATGGAAGTTGAGTGCAGTGCGCATCCCGGAAATGGTCGAATAACACCAGAAATTTTGTCTTTTCAATATTATATCGGAATGGACTGTAAAACTGTACCTTCTTCAACCGCGACAATATGTTCAGAAGACTGATGGTCTTCTTTGAGTGCGTACCCTCCATGTCTTCCTTCAGTTGTAGCTTTGCCAACTTCAGCAACGGAATAATCATATGCTAAATTTAAAGATATTCATTTTCAGTGATAGACCATTCACAAACTAGAAATGTTCTTTACAACCCGTGAGCTTACTATTTTGATACTTGTTGGTGTATCTTGAGAAGATATGGTGAAAAGAAGAAGGTCGGCAAGCTTCAACCGAAAAGCGGCCGCAGCTTGAGCAGCTGCTTTACTGGAAAGTGAACATACAATTATAATACTTATAGGGCTCACATGTAAAAACCAAATAACTATTAAATTTTACTTTTTCTTTTTTGCTGGGACCATTGCTTTAAACGCAGCTGCAAGTCGATCGTCCATTGCAAACATTTCCGAGTCATCAACGTCGGAAGCATCAGACTAGAAATCACAGAAATTTATTATATACTATCACTGATCATCTGAAAGCCGCGGACCAATGTGAAGAGCAAGAACGGTGAGGGCACTGAAAAGCAATGGAAGCATTTGGTAACTGGTTCATTGCGCCTCTAGGTGAACAGGATT